CCCCACAATTATAATATCCCCGCGGAGCAATGATTTGTTTAGGGATATATGTTCAGAGTTGCTTAAACTTGGAGGTTTTAAGGGATCCGTTTTAAAATTTGCTTACTTTGGAACTACTCTTGGCAAGGCGCACCTAGCAAGTTTAAGAGATTGAATTTAGAGTTGCTTGCTGCAGAAGCTCTGTTTTGATGCTGGCCGGAAAAAGATTATGTAGAGAAGCTTGTTTCTCGCCTGCAAGGATTCCATCTAAGATTCCAAATGTCTGGAAGCCTGGAACTTCCAGACTGTTGCTGAAAAAAAGGCATAAGTTTCTTATTGCAAAACCGTATAAAACCAACCCAAAATCAATCCATCAAAGGGGGTAGTATACGGAGCCCCGGAATCCACATTAATAAAACCCCCACATTTATAAAATCCCACGCCCGAATTTCAAATAGTATCTAATAAGGCCCGAATTTGAAATATATCTAATAAGGCCCCAATTTGAAATAGTATCTAATAAGACCCTAGTTTGAAATAATCTTGAATAAGGCCCTAATTTGAAGTAGGATCTGATAAGGCCCTAATGTGAAATGGTACGTAATAGGGCCCTAATTTGAAATAGTATCTAATAAATCCGTAGTTTGAAATAGTCCCTAATAAGGCGCTAATTTGAAATAGTCCTTAATAGAGCCCTAATTTCAAATTGTATTTAATAAGACCCTAATTTAAAACAGTATCTGATAAGGCCCGAATTTGAAATAGCATCTGATAAGGCGCTAATTTGAAATAGTCCCTAATAAGGCCCTAATTTGACATAGTCTCTAATAGGGCTCTAATTTGAAATGGTATCTAATAAGGCGCTAATTTGGAATCGTATCTGAATTTGAAATAATCTTTAAGAAGGCCGTAATTTGAAATGGTCCCTAATAAGGCCCTAACTTGACATAGTCTCTAATAGGGCTCTAAGTTGAAATGGTCCCTAATAAGGCGCTAATTTGAAATACTATCTGCTAAGGCCCTAATGTTACATAGTTTTAATGATATTGCTATTACTATCACTGTTGCTATACTACTAGTGCAATTACGATTACGATTACGATTACGATTACTATTACTATTACTATTACTATTACTATTACTACTACTACTACTACTACTGGTACTAGTACTAGTACTATTACTACTACGATTAGAATTACGATTACTTTTACGATTGCCATTACTATTACTATTGCTATTAATATTACAATTATTACATTTTCTTTTACTTTTAGTTTTACTATTACGATTGCGATTATGATTACCATTGCGATTACGATGACGGTTGCGATTACAATTACGATTGCGATTACGGTTACGATTAGGATTCTGATTGCTGTTACTATTACTATTACGTACTATCACTATTATTTACTAGTACTGTTACTGTTACGATTACTATTACTATTACTACTACTATTACTATTACTATTACTATTGCTATTGCTATTGCTATTGCTATTGCTATTACTATTACTAGTACTATTACAATTACTATTAATTACTATTACTATTATTGTTACTATTGCTATTGCTATTGTTATTGCTAGTACTATTACTACTGCTATTACTATTACTATTACTATTACTATTACTATTACTATTACTATTACTATTACTATTACTATTACTATTACTATTACTATTACTACTATTACGATTACGGTTGCGGTTATGGTTACGGTTACGATTACTATTATTATTAATATTACTATTGCTATTAATATCGATATTCATATTAATATATTACCACACGTAATAATATTGCTACTTATATTCATATCAATATTAACATTAAGACCCGGCGCCCTCTGATCTGCCTTTTAACTCCTCTTCTAGACCCTCCCTGCGGGCGTGCCCCGGCGCCCGCTCATCTGCCTTCAAACTCCTCTTCTAGACCCTCCCGGCGACGTTTCGGGCGCACCCCGGCGCTCTCTTACCTGCCTTTAATTTCCTCTTCTGATCTGCCTTCAAACTCTTCAGTCTCTTACTCATACTCATACTAAGACTAATACTACTTCGTAAACAGGATTGTCGCCATTATTATTCAGGGGGCCCTGAAAATCGAGATTGATCAATCGAGGGGGAGGGGGGGGGCCTTTTATTAACACGAAGTGAACATTAAGGTACTAGCTGAAGGCGTTCATGCTGCAACAGGAAATGTGCAGGAGCCTTCTAATCCAGCAACTTAGCAGTTTGTTGACAGTTGGCTTGCATGCACTATGCTGAAGACAAGCTTCCGAGATTGGGACTGGCTTTCCCCCCTCGCTGAGCAGGTCCACCAGCCTGGACAGCACTCATCACAGATCACAGAACCGCAGAACCGTTCACTGTAAGACTGCGCACAAAGTCGTCTGCCATATCCACGACCATCCTGACACTTGCGCCAACAAAAGAAAACCAATACCTTATCATAGTATATTTTTTGTATACCATATACATAAATATATATATATATATAACAGGAAAGTGATATTACGATATATTCTGCCCTATTATCATAGTATATGAAACCCCATTATAGTACATTAGGCATCTGCTGGCTAAGCTCAGCTGTATCCTTCACAATGGATCCGGACGTCTTAGAACGGCGGGCGGAGCTGAAGCTAAGAACGAACATACTAACTGCCACAGTACTATGACGGTTCTCCTCACAAGCTGCAGCAGTGATATGAGCCATAGTCTAAACTCCTTAAAGGGGGTTATATAGGGGATTATATAGGAGACTACTATAAGGGGTTACTGAGGGGGATACTAGGAGTTCAGACTATGGCTCATATGAGAATTACCAGTGGTACTGGTAGAGCGCTGGCTTCCTGTGAGTCCTGATACCGGCAGTGGCATTGCACGATGATGTAAACTGAGGCAACATAAAACAGAGGGTGCGGTGCACTAAAAGTAGCAATAGCCTGAGCTAGAAAAAAAAACATGGCCATAGAAAGGCACGGTTTCCCGAATTTGTACTGCTTTACGGGGTTCTACAATAAGCATGCTAATAGGGTTTACATTGGGTCCCCTTCTTGTGGAAACTACCAAAATGTGCAGACACGTAGCGCGCGCATCTCATTGTGGTTGAGCTCCATCTCTTCGAGGTGCTCCAACCTCGAGCAGCGGTCTCCCGGGGCCGTATGGGCGTTACTCAAAATTGGGACCTTTAGGATACATCAGGATTATATGGAGCCTTGTTAGGGATTTGATAGAGATCATCTTGAGAAGCTGTATAAGCCGCGGCTTTTGTTCTTGCTAGCATCTTTCTAGACCGGATTGCTAGCATTGCGGTGATTATTATCGCCTGTACCTCACTCGCCGCAAGGAGATGTTGTCTGTGCATAAGCTGGGTTTCTTTGAATCATGCTGGAAGCCCCAGGTAATTCTTAGTTCTCACCAGGATGCTTTTCACAGCTTAGGTTCCTGCACACAGGCACTGCGTAGCGTTTGATACAATTGCATTGAGATTGGGCCACGAAGCCCTCAACCCAAGAGTTGGGAGGCTTGGGGTTCAGGAGAGATTCACTGAACAAGACTTGGGCATGTTGGCTGGCAGTTTTTTTGTATCACACTGTCAGAACCATCACTACCGTTGCCGTCCCTGTGTGTTCCGGTAGTGACATGTCATGCAGGCCACACGTTATCTATCGCATTTGGGTCAAATAGTGGGTCGCCAGTTATTCTAGAAATCAACCCTGGAAGTTCACAAGCGCGCAGTAGCATCCTGTTCATTCAATCTGAACTGCTGAGAGTGGAATGTTGATCCAGGAGAGAGCAGGTTTGGGCTTAGAAATGGAATCCCAGAACGGTGGCGGCAAATATCGAAGCCCATCTTCGTATCCCCCTTGTAACTATACCGTAGGCTTGCGAAAACAAGCAGCACGTGGGATTTCCAAATGATCGTCCTCTTCTGGATCCTCTGTTGCAACCCAACATAATAAGAATCCCTACCTTCCTAGCATGACCCATATGTTCAGCACCATCCTTGGATATTGCAAGTTCTACAGGCAAACCCCAAGCAGCAAGCTAACATGAAGGGGAGACAACAGGGGACCTGGACTAGAGAAACCGGCCGATTCCTTCAAGAAATCCAGGGACCCCTACAGTCAAGCTGTTTGGGGAAGCATGCTGGTATGCAGTTTCTCCCACTTCCGACAGCAGGGTCCTTCAAAAACTGGTACCAGCCTTCGTACAAAGAACGTTCATGCTGAATTCAAGGGGCACGTCTGGCTCGTCGAGCATCTTTTGAAAATCCGCCAGCGCAACACACCCGTCACCTCAAGCAACACAGGGCTGTAAGAACACTACCATCCATGTTACGAGCTCAGAGCATGCTCACTCTCAGACTCTTGGATACTTGTAAAAAGACGTGCATGATGAGAAACGCAGTCAGGCCGGCAGAGGCTCCAGCAGGAGTCTACTGGGGACCACATGCTCTTGGAAACTACCAGGTGATTGGCCCAGTGGAGGTGCATGCGAGGGCCAGTTCATCAGGTTAACAGCCTGTGCCCTTGCTGAGCTGCAGACCGGCTTCGTCCTTGGTGTTTTGCGGGGAGGGCTCCGGGTTTTGGCGGGGAATAAGTGTGGTTTTGGTGGGTCTTCGACATTTACTTTGGAAGCCCCGCGCGTGAGGTTTTTACAGGCTGAGCATGACCTAAACGTCTTGGCGTGTGGTTACGCTTCCTTTTCACGGATCGTGTGATCAGAAAGGTTAGACAACTGACCCATGTCTTGACGCATAGCCAAGCTTCAGCAAGTTTGAAGATATGCTTCAGACCTGGGCGGCAAGAAACCCATGAGTGCACATAACATGTTTTGACACGGGAATCAACGGAGGAATGACGCTGCCCACAAGAATAACTGACAGCCAGCGTGTGCAACTTCAACAGCAACAATGCTGGGGTTCCAACGCTTTGCCACTTTGTCCTTCTTCTTCTTCGCCTTTTCAACACAAAACCAACACACCGTCTGAAGTCTGGACAGTTTAGGGGCTAAGTATTTTACTTTGTCCAATATTCCACAGTAGTTCTCTGCATAGGCTGACAATGCCTTTGTCCAAGTGGTAGGAGAAAGTTTACCCTATTTGGTGCACAGAAAGGAGCCAAATTTGGACAACCACCCAACTGCCCAGTTTCCATTTTCAATTATCCCTATATAACCCAACTGCAATAGTTTCCATTTTCTTTGCCACTATCCCTAAATATAATATAACCCCAATGGAAGCCCAATATACTATATCATGACTGCATGAGACAGAGACCCCTCAGAAGGATCCAAGCCGCCCCCCACTCCGCAGGCATCAAGGGTTGCCACTCCTTCGCAAAATTCGTTAGCCTGTGTGGGTACACAAGCCACAACAGCAAGACTATCTGGAACTAGGAACTCAGCACTGTGCAAATTCTCCAGGTTTCTGTATTACTTTTTTCTTTTCGTGACCCGCCAGGTCTGTACAGAGCCCTGTCTCCACATACCGTAAGACTGCAAACCCTGAAGCTCGAAATCCCCAAACCTCAAATTCGAAACCCCAAGCTCTATACTCCAAACCCCAAAAAAAAGGCAAGCTCTAATGCCAGAAAACACATACAATCATGCACCCCAAATTCCAACCCCAAAGCCCTTACCTCACAAACGCCTAAACACTAAACCCAAACATCTGAGCCTCGCTGGCCACCTTCTCCTTCTCGCGCGCAGCAACTTCAAGCGTTTGCTTCAAAAACAAAGCAGCTATCCTCGGGGATTGCGTCTCGTCGTAGTGCTGGGGCTCGTGAGTGGGAGAGGAATAGAGCTTAAGCAGAGGCGTCTAGGCTTTCGGGTTGATGGTCTAGTTGAGGTTGAAAGTTTGAGATTAAGGTTTTCGGGCTCCGCAACAAATCGCTGAAAGGGCTCAGAATGTTTCCAGAGACGTCAAAAAAGATTTTGAAGACCTGGCAGGAAAAGATTCAACCCTGTTTCTGTACGAAAGAACGCAGGGACTCAAGAACCCTAACACTCTGCTGTTGACTTGGCAAGCATCACGCGCGTCACCGCGAAGTTCACCATCACAACCTGTAAAGTGCATCGCAGCAGCCGAGGTCTCAAACCCTCCTATAACTTGTGCTACTGCTGTCGCTACTACAAGGCATATCAATGTTGTACTATGGTAAATTTGTTAGTATAATTGGCACGAGCATTACTACTGTACCACTTGTCTGGCCACAAAAGATGTGAGCACAATCAAATGCCTCAGTGTGCGCAACGTTTTCTTCACATGGGACACCTCAATAGAAGGTTGGATAACTGTTGTGGGGGCAAGGCCTGTCCGTAGTGTCTTGGAGAGGTAATTAGAGAATGAGTCTCGTGCAAAAGTACCAGCCAGCGCAGTGTTTAGGGCCCCTCGCTCACCGAGTATGCCGGACCCTGACAAACGGGACCCCTAATTATTGGAAGCCCCCATGCATATATATATATATGTATATACATATATATATACAGATATCTTGTACATATGAGAAGGACTTAAGCGAAGCCGCTCTGATAATGAAGTCATATCATTTGCAATAATTACACCCTCATCCCGCTTATGTAATTTAATCTAAGTCCTAGCTATGGGCACCTGCTTGTTTCCCGGGTCCTAACTACGGGACCTTAACTGGGTTCGAAGGCTTTAATTATAAGGTATGCTATAGGGTTACACAGTTTTATCTCCACATGTCCCTTGTCTCTGTACTCAGCCCAGCAGCATACGGCACCCAAAAAAGCGCAAAGAGGCTGCTAACCTGCATAGGATGCCAGCAACAGCTGCATGTCACCCTCTACTTGCATCTTGGCTGAATGTCACGGCCCTGGATCAAACAGTAGCAGCAGAACAGGCAAACGAGGCCACAGCGTCATAACTGACTCCGTCACGCCAAGCTGCATCGAATATCATTGGTCCTGCGGAGGAAACCTCAATTGCCCAGGGAGTCGCTGCTTTGTTTGGATCGTGGGTTGGACAATCCCTATACTATCCCCAACTGACCACAGTAATGATGCCGTACCCAGTAAGAAAATGAGAGTGCTGCTGATGTAAACAGGATGTCGACAAGATATCTCAAGTTCCCGTTGACCAGTAGAGCTTACCCTACCAGAAGGGTCCCCCCTCCAATCCTAAACACCTCCATGCTCCTCCGCAAAATGACTTCCTTCCTGAAAATCTAGTTTGTGTCCTCTTAGGGAAGGGCTACTGTTGGAAGAGGGGTTTTACATATAAAGTGGTTTGAACTGAGGGGCACGGTAATTCATGTGAACTTCCTGATGCTGTTTGCCTGTACCAGCATCCACTCAACAATCGGGTGGCCCAGGCCCAAGCCAAGTGATAAAGACAAAAAAAGAACGGCAAGTGAGAAGCCAGTTTCCATTTTGTTTTCCCTTCGTTCATCCACTGTTACAAGAGACCTGGAAGGATAAGGTTGCTCTCTATTTGATTCTCCACTTCTCCCTAAAGCAGAAAACTTTCCTCTGCTGACCTCGCAACCCTTGTAAAACACGTATTTTCTGCTGCTTCTTACAATGACAATAAGCAAAAATCTAATATAATTACCTAGTACCCATAAGCTTCAACTAAGCCACCCATGCCGTGGTCATGGCGGCCTCGAAGAGGTAGTAGGAGGCCGAGGTCGCATGCGCAAATCTCTCCTCAGAAACTCAAAGACAAGCCAGAGTTCAACTGAAGCATACTACAGGGGCTTAATAGGGAATAAAGGAATGTAGTATTCTGTAACTCAAAGCGGTTTTGCTTTGGATCGATGTACTTTCCGAAAGGTCCGCAACATGATCCCCACATAATCCATCAGGGGAACCCCGCATAATTTCCCTCCAATCCCCAAAGATGCCTGGCATCCCTACGCGCCTCGGCTTGGGAAACCCCCTGTACATGTCTAGCTCCATCCTCCACCTGCACCCCAGCCCCTGCTTTGAGGCAATCCACATCTCCATTGTACGCCTGTAGTAAATGTGTAGTATACCCCCCTAGTACTAAGCTTTTCCAGGGTCTTCTCTGGGGCCAGCTGTCTGGGTCTTTACAACTCAACACCAGGCAAGCTTCATAAAGAAATTCGCGAGTTTTCAGGTCGAGGTCATCATCCAGGATATGGCTTTGTGCCAGACCTCCAATGAAAAGGCCTGAGAACCATAGGTGCACGTGGCTGATGGAAGATGTAACAACCTTTGGGTCATCCCAGTTTCCATTTCAGGTTCCAGCTTCTTTTCCATTTGCTTCTCCATCAGGGTACTATCCATCTTATAATCCCATATACATATATATACTAGCTTCCATTTTGCTTTCCATCTTCTTTTCCATTTGATTCTCCATTATTGGGGGCAAACCCTACGTGCTATGTCCATGCACTGCAACCTCGGCAGGATGTTCTAAGCTTCCGTCCGGCCGTCACCACAATGGTCGCGAGCAGGAGACTTCCCCAGAACAGGTCCACCAGCATACTGCTAAGCGTTTCGATGAGTACGTGAAGATTGTGGAACCTCAGATTGGCTAAACCCTAAGTAGTCGTTTTCATCGTCTTTACCACTATCCCTAACCCCTATATATCCCCAACATAACCCCACTATAACCCCCGCATGAATTCAATGTAAACCCCAATATGTACGTGGATTCCAAGCGATTATCCTGCAGTCCACGGAGCAGCTTCATGAACTTGAGGACCCTCACAACTCGCAGGATACGTGCAGCACGAATTAGCCGCAATATGATAAGGGCTTCCAGATCCGCAACACCTGCCCGGATTGCGGCATTTCATCCACGCGGAGGTTTACAGCAGCCATCCATGCACCTCCTGGCATTCGGAACCCATGGAGGTCATGATGCTCAACTCATGCCTGCTGGTCGTAGAACGTAGACGTCCACAGCACAGACCTCGGACAAGATGCACATGAACTGAGTGTCAACACCCCGTCAGTAGCATAGAGATTGCAAACACTACCAGTCACCCTCAGCAGTTACCTGACAGAAGACGAGTCAAGTCATCAAACGAAGCCTGGAGTGTAAGAAGTTGCAGAGGAAGACAGGCATCAGGATCTGAGGACGCCACCACGACCACCTTGGGCAAGGCAACTCGGCACTGCCATGTAATAGCCACATGTGAAGAAGCGGCTTAAATTACTGCAACCCAAGAACAAGACGTTTGCAAATCGAGGCAAATGGTCACTAAGCTTGCAACCCCGGCTGGACCCACGCATAGGATGTCATGGATTTGACTTTCAGGCTTCTTTAAGCAGGATGGCCTCCAGATTTTTGCTTAGTTCAACGATTTGAAGTCGCGGGCTCAAGCTGTATCTGCGATCATCAGAAACGTGGCCATCTTCAGGCCATGACGTCAATTCTGAGCCATCCCCAGCTTTTCGAGCTCAAGGCACAATAGTGTCAAACAGGTTCAGCGGCTGCCTGCACAAGAAGCGATGGGCAAGCAGCAAAGCTTCATGATTGAGTTTCAGCATTGGGGCTATGCTATGCTGGCGTTCTAAGAACTCAAGGGCCGCATGATAGGGCTTTCACAGCCATGCCTCAACCGACTCAGAGGCAGGAAGATGAAGCGGAGGATAACGTCAAGAAGGTAAATCCTGTGCTGGCATGCGCTTTCATGCAACTAAAGTCAACATGCGCTCCCAGTCTGTAGCTAGGCGGCCAACACACACCGCAGTTCAGCAAAATTGCAAACACTGTGCCGAAGACAAGGCTCGAGACAAAAATAATCTCGAGGATTTCGAAGACGGGTTCTGCATCCTCCTGAGCAGTAAGCTGAGAGTCATCAGAGCCAAAATCTCTACTAAAAACTGCTTTCAAATGCGTTGCTTAGACCCTGTGAGAGCATGCCTACAAACATCCAACAATCCAAGCTTCCCAGCCACCATCATCACTCCGCTTCCCAAGAGCAACCGCACACTCGTAGCCAGACCATTGGTGCTCACAGAACATTACCTGGATCATGCAGTCACGATAGACTCTGAATTTGAAAGAACATGCAAGGGCAAATGTAAGCAACGTACTACGAGATCGCAATTTTGGAGCTACCGATGTACAGTTCCCAACATGACTTAGCCTCATTCCCAGCCAAGCGGCTACCATGTTCGCAGCAATCACCTGGAAGCAAGTTGAGCACTACCAGTTTTTCGACAAATGTATCAAGTCCCCATGCCCATAAGCCTCGTAAACCTGCACTGTGCACTTCCTCAACGTAGATTTCCGGAACCCGAAATCCGATGCTGCTCAACCCGCTCCACAATGCTCCTGATCCCTGATGTCAGCCCAAGCGACCACGCCAAGTGCTACGTCGGCCATGAAGCCTGGGCAGGGGCAAATGCAGAGCCATTCGCGACACCAAAAGCCAGGAAACCAGTGCAAGAAGGCTTGGGCTGTACAAGCTCAAAACCAACATACGCACTTGGTGATGGAGGACAGCCAAAGGAGGATTCGGCTGGGTAGCTGTCGGTACTTGAGGGTACGCACCCTGCAAGAAATCTGAAGCCCAAGGAATACAGAGTACCCCTGGCAAAGCATTGTCTTGCAAGAAGCCTCTTGAAGCTGAAAAAATTAACACCCGGTCCAGACTCATGACGGTCAGCTCATTTTCGCCCGCACTTGCACGCTATATCTCCCGTGGTGTTGTCAAAACTGTTCATATTGACCTACGACTTCTTGGCTGCCTAGCCAATGAAAATGGAGTTCTTGCCACCTGTTGTACCACCAAAGGGGTTGCTGCTGGTAGCGAAAAGGCTAACAGTAGCAGGAGGGCTGCCCATATCGGAATCTTTGATGCCTGCCTCTTCCAGTTCTGCCTTTGTGAACCCTTGCATCAACAGTCTGTGGTACGAACAGCCAGACATGCGGCGTAGGATTTCTGCGAGTGCCTGAGGCTGAACGAAGCATCGAATGTCTGAGGCCTCGAAGCAGTCGTGGATCAGCTCCTCGATTGCAAAGGAGCCCTCGGTGTGTAGGTGTTTTGCTTGATAGCCCAACTCTTTCAACTCCTTTGCCTGGGTTCTTGCCGAAATATACTTAAAAAGGATTTTGTATTGAAATTGGGCCCAGGAATCCATAAAAATGTAAAATGTTCTTCTACAAGAGCCCAGTTGCCTGGATTCCTGCGGTTCGGAAGAGATGCAGCGGAAACTCCAGAGCCTTCATCATGCGAATGTAAGCGGTTCTCCGCAAATGAGGTGGTTGTGCGAAAACCATCTGGCCTGGCTCTGCGTCTCGCAAGTCTCGGAGCCATTCAATCAAGGGCATAAAGACTTCAGGAGAATAGTCCACAAAAAAGTCCCCGCCAGCATCCAGGGGCTCCTCCATGCAGCCAGTTGCCTTTGTAGAAAGCTAATTTTTCCCAGCCACATTGAACAGATCCGGATGCACACTTATGACCTTCTCCCCGCCAATGTTGATACTGACTGCGCCTCTCCTTTGGCATGATAAGCTGGAGCCAACTTTTGCAGCTTCCATGCTGGGGAGACCGCGGAGACCTCTACAGGACTTGGCGACACCTCTCAGCCAAAGATGCTGCCAAAGAGCTGCACTTTACTACTTGTGTGGTGCGGCGGTAAAACTTAAACCCACTGATGTTTCTGCATCCAAGGCCTACACCACAGATGCACAGCCCTTGCTGACCTGGAAGTGTATACCATGAGGTTGTTTCCAGAAGCAGGGGGACCCCAATATAGACCCCAATATACTGTAGTCCTTTTTGTAGGGACCCCCAAAAGGGTACCCCTAATTTAGGGAAACCCTAATCCCCATAATCCCCTACATAATCACAGTTTCCATTTCATTTTCCATTTTCTTTTCCATTTGATTCTCCAGCATAGTAGGTACCCCTAATTATGGTACCCACAGTTTCAGGAAACCCTCAGAACAGACGCCAACTTGGAGCCAAGAGGCTCGATAAAAAACCGCGCATTCGATCCGAAAGGCTTCCACCTCGCAAGGTACTGGGCGGCTCAGAGGTATAGTCTCAACTCCTAGTATCCCCAACCCTAAACCCTAAATCCTAAACCCTAAACCCTAAATCCTAAACCCCCTATAAGAATCCCCAATATAGTCGCTTCTATAATCCCCATGGAGTTTTAGACGATAGCTCATAGGATGATGGAAGACGAGGCGGACACCATGCAGGTGGGATTACAACGTGTGAAGCCACAACCTCTTAGATGGCACAGTCAAGATTCCGCGGAAAAATGGAAGTTTCCCAAAATTAGGGAACCTTTGTGTGGGTCCCTATTAAGGGCCCCCTATTTAGGGAAACTATCAAACTGCATGCGGCTGCACGTGATGGCTTGGAGTAATTAAAGACCTCCACTGCAGCAGAAATTATGCCTCATGCTTTTGGCAGCACTGTCAACAGGTCTATTACAAGCTGCACCAAAGGGGTCATGCAGTGTCAACTAAGGTCTCAAAAACAGACGATGATCCCTAGCATGAGCCCCACAAAGAACAAGACTTCTTGGACACTCCCACCCTACACCCTACATAACCCCATTATAGTAGATTCCATTTTCTTTTCCATTATCCCCATATAATCCCAATATAACCTCTATATAATCCCTATATAATATAACAGTTTCCATTTTCTTTTCCATTATCCCTATATAACCCCAATATTCTATAGTAGTTTCCATTATCCCTATATAGCCCTACACACCTTCCTGTGCGGACAGCTCCTTGTTGGCTTGCTTCAGAGACTTCCACCAGGTGTCTGCCTCAGCACTTGGAGGGGGCGCGCCTTCGGGTGGAGATCTTACAATTTCCTTGTAGACCTCTCCAAAGAAACAGACCTCAGCGGCGTCACGCCACAGACCCCACCAGATCCATCACTGCAGAAAGAGTACGAGAACGCAAATGCAACGCATATTCCATGCGTTTGCATTTGTCCCTGGTCCGTAACTATAGCTATCATGGGCATGTTCCACGTGTTGATGTTATCACTTTCTTCTTTGGCACTATGACGCTTTCTGCGATGCGGATAATGAAGACTGGCGTGACCGGATGGTCCTATGCCGCTGCAGCTTTCTCGTCACACGAAGGAGTATCACAGTGTCATAGCAGAACTAGATGACTAGCCAACCTATATCTTCCAAAAACGGATTTAGCATAACACCCCCGTTCCTTCTCCTATAGCCTATAGCCATTCTGAGCCGTGGACAGCATGGAAGATGCTCTTCCTCTTCTTGGACTTCTCCCGGCTGACCGTCGGGGTCGCGGGGTTGCTGGGGTCAAGGCTGTTGCCGGTCCTTAGGTTGGCACATTATGCTTGCTTCCTCGTGGGTAACTAAGTTTGCCTTCAAGTGCCAGATGTAAAGTTAAAACTTTAAGTAATCTAATAACACCCACCTGAGAGTGGGGTGGAAATGAGCTATAGTCTAAACTCCCAGTATCCCGCTTCATAACCCCACTAAGAGTCCCTTAAATAATCCATTATAGACCCGTTTCAAGGAACTTAGACTACAGTTCAGAAAACTGACAGCTGCAGGTTGGTGTTGGAAGTTGTGATACTGCTCAGAAATGCGCCATGCCGAGCAATCCCCTTGACTACTTACTGGGGTCTAGTAGGGAATAAGGGAATATACTATATATATGGATTCTATAGGGATTATATGGGGATTATATTCCCTTATCACCTACTAAGAACCAGTGAGCCTAATGTTCACCATCAACGCTACTCCCCGACTGTCAGAACTTCTTCTAAAAGGATTTCAACGCGCCGCATGATCATGAAATCACCGCCCCTAGTTATACATGAACCCCCTTCATGGAATTGCAGTATAACAGTTAGGCCTCCCCTTAAAGGGGTTTATAGGGGTTATATAGGGATAATGGAAAAGAAAATGGAAACTACTCTTTAGGGTTTAGGGGCTCCAACCTCACTTTTGGGCCTGCTCCGCTACTTGGCGTTGAGAATTTAGGACTCCCTGAAGAAGAAGATCCCTGGTATGGAAGCCCCCAGAGAAAGCAATAATCAACAGAAGGCGCCATATACCCTAGAAACCCCTATCTACCCCTACATAACCCTGTACACCCCTGGCTAACCCTATGTAATCCTATATAACCCCTCTTTCATCCCTACATAACCCCTCTATATCGAGTCCAAGGCTCCTGTACTTGGTCTTGGGGAGAAACAAGGCATGTCCTGGATAGCTTAACCAGCTCTTCGGTATGTGCGGGGGGGTTCTCAACAGAATGGGTTTTCGGGTTCAGGGTTTAGGAATGCGCTTAGGGAACCTGCTGGAACATAGGGGGTTTACAAACCCCTAAACCCTAACCTTAAACCCGAGGTGCCCATTTATTTTGAAAAGCTCCCATTTTAGTCCCTGGTATCTGGTGTGGTCCTGTGGAGACGGTGACCTCTGCATCCCCGCCAAGCGGGGGAATTGCATTCGGCATCTCCAAGGTGGCTTGCGCCTGAGGTTGCGGGTTCCTCCAATTACAGGTACCTTTCTGGGGGGTCCCTATAAACATGGATTGTAATGTGTTTGGGCCTATATTGGGCCTTTGTCTGTCCTTAAAAAAGGGACTATAGTACTTCGGGGTCTATATTGGGGGTCCCCTGCTTATGGTAACTACGAATACAAGATGAAAAGCTGCCTCTGGATTTCAGACTGCTCCAGAGTCATCCAAAGGGACCCAAAGCAGAGAGGGACTGGTTGTGCAACTTCATTGCCAAAGACTGTACAGCCTAAACCCTAAACCCTAAACGTTAAACCCAAAATTAGGGTTTTCTAAACCGCTATGAGGCTCCGTCCGATAAGCTCACGCCATGCTTCATCATGTAGGGTTTATGGCATATAACTAGACGGCCAACTAGACTTACTCATTTTATGGGGCGTACAAGTAGACGTACCAAGTCCCCCTGGCCCTCCAAGTAGCAGGTCTCTGGGACCCGAGGCCTTTCAACTCGAAGCCTCAACTCCCCAGACCCAAAACTCAAATTCTGTAGTATTGGGGTTATATTGGGGTAATGGAAAAAAAAGGAAACCACTATATTATTATGTAAGCTCAACAACTCTTGCCTGTTCACTAATCATATATACCCCTCTCAACTTTATGTGTGTATATATATACACCCCAATATAACCCTAGATGCCCCTATGTGAAGCTATATACCCCCATATAACCAAAACCCCAAAACCTCACAAAACACCAGCACCAGCCTGGAAGTTTGTCTCCGGGAGGTGATCCAGAACGGCTCCCTCCAGCTTGGCCACTACAGCGCTCTGACGTGCTGTCCTCAGCTGTGGTAGTGTGCGTCCTTGCGGTTACAACAGCAGCACGATCATCATTATTAGTACTGGTAGTGGTGGTAGTTGTTGTAACAATTGTAAAATGAGAAGGAGGAGGAGGAGGAGGAGGAGACGCAGCAGCAGCAGCAGCAGCAGCAGCAGCAGCACCACCACCACCACCACCACCACCACCACCGAAGTACTCGCTGTTGCAAAATACTACTGATGACAAGGACAAGTACCAAACATTCTATCTTGGCCTGAGAGTGAAATGATGGACAACCTCGTGCTTGCAATCTAGGAGGTGCTGGGAAGGGGAACCTTGATGTTCCACAAAATCCCACCACGCAAGCCCAAATTTACAGAATTTTTTCTGACCACCGCAGGAAAAAGGACCCATAAGCCGAACCCCCAAACCCCTAATTGCAGCGAGGCGTCTCCGAAGCTAGCTGGGTCACGACCTTCTCAATGCGGACCTCCTGCTCTCTGAACCTTGGCATGGAAATTGATAAGGGCGCCTTGTATGGGGATACCCTTACTTGCGGGTGCTTAATGGGGAATAAGGGAAGATAATCCCTATATTATATTATGCCTATATCACCCCTATATAACTCCTTTGTAGTTCCCATATAGCTCCTACATATTCCCTAGAGAATATATTCCTTATTTCCTACTAACCCCGACCAAGCTTAGGGAAGCTCTAGATGCAGCATAGACATGCAGAGGGAAAATCAAATATCAACGACATCACTGGTAAGAGTTTAGGGTTTAGGGTTCTGGGGGTTGGTGTTTAGGGTTCAGGGCTGAGGGTTTGGGACTTAGGGTTTGCGGTTGAGGGTTTGCGGTATTGTGCTGAAGAGACCCAAAGAGCGGTGCCTTTGAACAGCCGCAAAGAACGAAAGGCATGACGTGATTCCTATGATAATGACTCCAGAAGAACTACCCAAGCCACCCACATTCTGGAAACCTCACCCTTCAGGTGCTGATTCACTGGCATGTAACCTGGAAATGCCTTAGCCCAGCAAACTCTACGTCTAAGATTGTCGAAACAAGCCCGAATAACCGCAAGCCGTCAATAATTGTGTCGCTACTGAGTAAAGAAAGTTCTCGCGGCACGAGCGTACTAGAAGGGCGTCATACAAGGCCCAAAATCTGGGTTTTGAAGCTGCACAAACCGCGACAAAAACTGGAATTGCATGTCTGAAAATCCTTGATTGATGCGAAATTTAAATCTTAGACCGTCAGCCCTTAAACCTCAAGCTTTACGCAACAAACTTCAATCTTAGCCGTCTTGTGGCAGGTGGCCTTTGCAACACCTCATCCAGGGAGCAGCTCAGCAAAGCCTCGCCAAGCTCCTCTTCCAGGAATCTGCGGAGAACAAAAAAATTGCGGTTCCTTTCGGAAGGCCCCTATTCTCGGAAAATATCAATACTACTCTTATTCGTACTACTATTACTACTACTGCTACTACTACTAGGACGAGTACGACGGCTACGACGTCTACGACGACTACGGCGACTATGGCGACTATGGCGACTACGACGACGACGATGACGATCATGATGGTGATGATGATGATGATGAAAGGCGAATGGAAACCATGAACATGGCAAGTATCGAGACTGAGTCTGAGTGCAACGAGGAGCTGCGGAGGCACCCCTGATTTCCATATCTGCATGTTGCCGGCGCTGGCAGCTGTTTGAACTAGCAACTACGCTTCAAAAACTAGCGCTGCAATTATCAGTGCTGCATGTACCTGACTTTCAAGATAATGCAAGAATATCGACATCATCAGATGTACCACTTTGTGCGTACCATTGCCAATAATAGCGCTTGGGGCACACCACCTTGACACACTCTTGACACGACTCCACCCCCACGATATCAGCGGGCCTGAAACTTCTGAAGCCTCACATACGTCCCCTCGAATGAAATAGTCATTGTTGGCCACAATTTGAAGAATCTGCCACATCCTCCTCTAGCAGCGGCGGGGTCGGCACTACATCCTTCGCCAGGGAAGGCTGCGGTGGTGATGGCATGTCCGCGGCAGCACTGGCTGGGAAACCAGAAGAAAAGGTTAATGCCACGAATGCAAAGAAGAATTTTGAGAATAATGGCAGCAAACAACACCTACCAAACTGTTGATGTTAATACTGCCAGACGTCCGGATAGTCTCGAAAATGCTGTACTAGTAATGCTCCTTCTTTCACATGCGTATGTGGCGTAGGATCAGGATTTCGTGTCCAGATTTGCTGCATCAGAACGGACCAGGGTGCTAGAACGACAAAAGCATTGTGAGTGCACCAACCGACGTTTTGGACCTTTGCAGCATGCGCTCTTGTGATGTTGCCTGTGAGCCGGTAGCCGGTAGCCAGCCAGCAAGAGAGAAGCTTCTGTTCACTCCTTCCTGTCGCAGGAACCACTTTGCCATGGATGACTTTTCATGGCTGCTGCTCAAAGATTACCTGCGTACGTTAAAGGTTACGAGCCCAGAAGTTTTCTTGAATCCAAGACTAGGTCGGCATCGGGGAAAACGCCTGAGATAGCACGTAAAAATGTTCCTGTTACCCTATAACCCCTATAACCCCTGTAGTTTCCATGTCCTTTTCCATTATCCCCAGGTAGCCCCAAATATAACCCCAATATAACCCCAATATTATAGTAGTTTCCCTAATGTTCCGTGAGCCATGCTGCCTCGACCATGAAGCCTGCAATAACACAGTAAGGTAGGGTAATAGTATATTGGGGACTATCATTGGGATAATGGAAAAGAAAATGGAAACTACTATAGTATATATTGGGGCTATATTGCGTTAATGGAAAAGGACATGGAAACTAGTATAGTATATTGGGTTAATATTGGGAAAATGGAAAATAAAATGGAAACATGCACTGGCACAAGAGTACTATGCACGCATGTCTGCAAGAAAATGGAATCCCATAATCCCATGACCCCAGAAAACATCCGAAGTCCTGGTGCCTATGATGTCCTGCATCCCGGCAGAACACCAAAAAGATGAAGTACAGGGGTAGCCCATCTTAAGGAGTGAACGAAAGCCTTTGGGGGCCACACCGCCACCGGTCGCCTCCTGCCTCGGTGTGTCCTGGCCGTTGCACAAACAACCGAGACCAGCTGCCACTGCAAAGCAGTTTTGTGGAAGATGAAATCATAGGTGCAGAAGTAGAGCTTCCAGACTTCATGGCTTCGGGATGGTGATGAAGACTGTAAATTGGGGTTTGGAAATTTGGTAACTCCTGGAGCTGGAGAACTGTTCTCGGCAAACATAGGTGTGCAGGTTTGGCGGTTTGGGCTGTATTTCACGTTTCAGCCCCAGGTCCTGAACCCAAACCCTATGAAAGGATCTTGGAACAAAATGATGCTTGGTTGGAATGCTGGGAACGTGCTTCATGGAAAAATCCCCAGACTTGGTTCTTAGGTGTCTACGGTTTCAATATTGGTTTCAGGCTATGCTTCGAGACTTGTGACAAGCTGGGAAAGAACCCTTGTCAGGTGTTGTCTTCCAAAATTTCCTGTTAGGAACAGATACATTTTTGGGATGTACAAAAGTAATTGAGCTCAGGGCTGAAAGCATTGTAGGCTGTTCCGACACAGACAAGCTGTTGACGCACAGGCTGCCGTGTTAAAACAACCACAAACAAGTTAGCGCGGCTTTGGATTCAGCTGCTGCGCTGCCTCATGGCAGAGCAGCAGCGACGGCGGCAGCATTGGTGCATGGCAGTAGAATAACCATGTCACTGCGGCCATTTCCCAAGGGTTACGCAGCGGTAGTGGCAGCCGTGCTCATCATAAGCAGCATCATCTAATCATAACAACAAAAATGACGGCGTCATGGTGACAGCGGCAATGAACAGCCAATAACAATCATTCCATCGTCAACTCCTCTTCCGTAAGGAAAGGAAGGGGAGCGTCTCAAAATTGGGGTAGGTCCCGCATACCCTTAAAGCTAAAGGGTTCCTTGGAATTGGTCTACGAGCAGAGACCGAGCATCGCAAGAAACTCTTAAATGGCAGCTTCCATAAATGTATCCCAATTTTTGGGAAACTCAAATCCCCATAGACCCCATATACACCCAGTGTCCATTTCATTGTCCATTTTATGTTCCAGTTGATTCGCCATTATTAGGGGTAAGATACCCCTAATTTTGGGAGACCCCCAAATCCTAAACCCTAAACTCTCAACTCTAAACCCTAAGTCTTAAAGCCTAAACTCTAAACCCTAAACCCTAGATCCTAAACCCTGAGCCCTACACCCTGCACTCCGGCCTGCTCTTGCCCCCATACCTACTGCTCGGCTGCACTTGCTGCAGGAGATCTCGAGCCACCTTGCAAACTTACTGGTTCTCAGTAGGGAATAAGGGAATATATATCTTAGGGTTTTACAGTTAATGGTTTAAGATTTAGGGTTTGGGCCGGGTTTGGGGTTTAAGGTTTAGTAGGGGAATAAGGGAACATAGCCTGCTGCAATGGAGAATCAAATGGGAAAAAATGGAAACTGAAATGGAGACAGGGTACAGGGTCTAAAGGGGTAATATACTTACTGGGGGGGGTTAGCAGGATATGAGGGAATACAATCCCTATATGGCCCCGTATCATATATTCTCATATTCCCTACTAAGAACTAGCAATATAAGCCCTAAACGGCCTAAACCCTCAACCCTAATCTAGCAAAGTGCTAAATCCCACAATCCCTTGCAATGTAAGAGTTGAGAGTTTGCAGCTTTAGGTTTGCTTTAGGCATTCTAGGATCAAGCTCGGGGATGTTAAGGGTTTAGGGTTTGGGTTCTTGGATCAAGGTCTGGGATGTGAAGGGCTTAGGGTCATGGGGTCCCTTGCAGCCATGATGATCGCCAAAATTACAATTCAGGGCAAAGCAAAATGCACCTAAAACATGACAAAGTCCTTGACAAAAGTGTATGGCAATAGCTGGCAGAATCAGATAAATCCCTAAACCCTAAACCCTAAACCCTAAACCCAGTGCGTTGGTTCATCTGCCTGCCTTCTCCTGAATGAAGACGATGGACTGCCCGCATTGAAGCGCTGAAGAGGCCTGTTCAACTTTCCATTTGAGCCATAGTCTAAAC